AGTAGCAAAAAAGAACTTGATTTCTCTTCTCAGGTGGGATCATTCCTTGACATGGCACCCAACACCAACGAAGCTCTGGTGGAGAAGGTCACTTCAAATGCAAGATACTGGTATGACGAAAGAACTCCAGCAACAACAAAACCAGGCTATCTTGAAGTTGACCAACTCACGGCCCTAACAGCGAAGATTGAAGGATTGGTCGTGGAAGTGAAGAATTTGAAGAATGATAACAATCACACCAACCAAGTCAACAACATCGGAGCTGTCCCGAATCAACAATCATCCCGATACTTCGGGAACTCAAGCTCTGTCCCACAGTCATCTCAATTTAATACTTTTTCACCTGTTTCTCATTCAACTGAACTTGTACTCTCATGTGAGATATGTTTTGGTCCACATTTGACCAATTCATGTCAATTAGTTGATGAATGTAATCTAAGCAACAACAGGGAGGTGAACATGCTGGAGTATGGCCGAACAAAACAAGAAGGGCCATGGGCGAATCAAGGCAACCGGGGGGGGTAACTCAAACTACCCTCCTCAAAATTATCAAGGGAGGAATTACCAAGGTAACCAATGGCGGGCGGACTACAACAATGGTCCTCCTCGCGGCGGTTATCAAGGTACTCAGAACTACTCCAACAATAATCAAGGGAACAACTTCCAGAGTCGGAACCAGGGGGTACACCAGCCCAACAGAACAACCAGGCTTATGTTCCTCCACACCAACGACAAACGGAGGCTGCCCAACCATCAGAGATAGGCCTGCTGGTTGCAGAACTGGCAAGGACACGGGAGGAAATGTCAAGATACAAGGCCAGCACTGACAATCAGATCAAAAATCAGATGATGCAAATTACTCAGAACAATGTTCCCGGTCGCCAGCCAGGCAACTTGCCTAGCACCACGGAACCAAATCCCCGTGAACATGTGCAAGCTATCACTCTCCGAAGTGGGAGACAAACGAAAGAAGTCGAGCAGAAAGACAAAGATGATACCCTGATCATAGAACCTGAGAAACAAACTGATGCTCCAACTGAGAAGAGCATGGAACCAACACGCCCTAACACAAAGGTCATTATCGTCAAACCTTCTCTCCCGTTTCCTTCACGGGTTAGAAATGATGACGATAGCAGGAAATACAACAAATTCTCGGACCTACTCAAACAACTCCACGTCAACCTGCCGCTGATGGATGCCCTAGCGGAGATGCCCAAATATGCCAAGTTTTTCAAAGACTTGCTGACAAACAAGAGGCAGCTGCAGGAGCTCTCAGTCATGGACTTGAACGCTGAATGCTCGGCCGTGGTTCTGAGGTCAATACCCGAAAAGCTAAAGGATCCAGGTAGTTTCACTATCCCTTGCTCTATAGACAATTTCAATTTCAATAATGCTCTAGCTGACTTAGGGGCAAGTATCAATCTGATGCCTTCCTCTATAGTCGAGAAGCTAGGACTTGGGGAAATGAAACCCACCAGGATGTGTCTTCAACTGGCTGATCGCTCAGTCAAATATCCGAAAGGAATTGTTGAAGACGTCTTGGTCAAGGTTGACAAATTCATTTTCCCAGTTGACTTTGTAGTAATGGACATAGAAAAGGATAGAGAAACACCTCTTATTCTAGGAAGGCCCTTTTTGGCTACCGCCAGGGCCTTGATTGATGTCACTGATGGCTCATTAACTCTAAGAGTCGGAGATGATCTATGCACCTTCCGACTCTCAGATGTTATGAAACACCCCACAGATTCCTTTCAAGGATGTCATTTTCTTGATACCTTTGAGTCTATTGAAGGGTATCTGTTTGGGGAAGAAAACGAACATGTAACTGATAAGGCATGTCTGTTAAAAGAAGCCAACACTGATGTGAGTGATGCATGTGAGAGTTGTGAGGATGCGCTGATTAATCAAGCTTCTAACGAAGTATTGATTGAGTTTGAGGGGGAGAAAAATGAACAAAACTTGAAAAACGACCACCCCCTCGAACTAAAGAAACTGCCCGACCACTTAGAATATGCATTCTTGGATGACGAAGGCAAGTGCCTTGTCGTCATCGCTGCACACTTAAGTGAGGAACAAAGGGAGAAATTACTTGGAGTCCTTAAGACACACAAGCAAGCAATTGCTTGGAAACTTGAGGACATCAATGGAATAAGCCCCGCCTTTTGTACCCACACCATCAAGATTGAGGAAGGGTTTAAACCAGTTGTCCAACCACAACGACGTTTAAACCCAAACATGATGGAAGTAGTGCGTGCCGAGATTGTCAAACTGCTGGATGCGGGTATCATTTACCCCATCTCTGATAGCCAGTGGGTAAGCCCGATTCATGTTGTCCCCAAAAAGGGGGGAATGACCGTCATGAAAAATGAAAAGGGCGAACTTCTACCCAGTCGAACTGTTACCGGGTGGCGAATGGTAATCGATTACCGCAAACTGAACGAAGCCACCCGGAAAGACCATTTTCCCCTTCCCTTCATCGATCAATTAATAGAGAGGTTGGCAGGCCATAGTCACTACTGTTTCCTGGATGGCATGAGTGGATACTTCCAAATCCATGTCAACCCGGAAGACCAAGACAAAACTACGTTTACATGCCCTTTTGGGACCTTTGCTTTTCGTAGGATGTCTTTTGGTCTCTGTAATGCCCCTGCCACCTTCATGAGGTGCATGATTGCCATTTTTGAAAAATACATTGGCCACTTCATGGAGGTATTCATGGATGACTTCTCTATTTTTGGGGAAACATTTGAAAAATGCCTTGAAAACATGGAAAAAGTACTTATCCGCTGCAAGGAAACCCATTTAGCCCTAAGTTGGGAGAAATGTCACTTCCTTGTGAAAGAGGGTATAGTACTTGGACATAAAGTGTCAAGTAACGGGGTAGAGGTGGACCATGCAAAAGTTGAGACGATAGAGAAACTTCCTCCACCAACCACGGTAAAAGCCATCCGCAGCTTCTTAGGACACGCGGGCTTTTATTGTCGTTTTATAAAGGACTTCTCTAAAATCGCAAAACCTCTCAACCGGTTACTTGAAAAAGATGCGGTTTTTATATTCTCTGATGAATGTCACCATGCTTTCCAAGCACTTAAAACACAACTGATCAATGCACCTGTGCTTGTGGCCCCAGATTGGAGCCTACCCTTTGAACTCATGTGTGACGCTAGTGACTTAGTAGTGGGGGCCATCCTTGGTCAAAGGAAGGACAAGAACTTCCACCCAATCTACTACGCTAGTAAAACTCTGTCAGGGCCACAAATCAACTACACTACCACTGAAAAAGAATTCCTTGCTATTGTTTGTGCTTTAGAGAAGTTTAGGACTTACATTATTCTTTCGAAGGTTATTATCTATACCGACCATTCGGCCATTAGATATCTCCTCCAAAAGCATGATGCTAAGCCTAGACTGTTACGCTGGGTTCTTTTGTTGCAGGAATTTGATATTGAAATCAGGGACCGAAAAGGGTCTGCTAATCAGGCAGTTGATCACCTCTCGAGGTTAGATGCCGAGTTAGCAGAAACTTTCGGAAAATGCGAAATTGAGGAACTTTTTCCTGCTGAGAGACTGATGGCAATATCCGCCAAGGAACAAACACCGTGGTATGCCGACATTGCCAACTACCTTGTTGGTAAAGTCGAGCCTACTGAACTGACGAGACACATGAAGAGGCGGTTCTTATCAGAAGCAAAGCACTATTTTTGGGATGATCCATATCTATTCCGAATTTGTGCTGACCAGGTGGTGAGAAGATGTGTTACTGAAGCTGAGGCAAAGGACATTCTGGAGCATTGTCACAGCGGTCCTACTGGGGGCCAATTTTCAGGGAATAGAACCGCAAGGCGGGTTTTGGACTGTGGGTACTTCTGGCCCACGATTTTTAAAGATGCTAATGTATTTGTTTCCTCTTGTGATAACTGTCAACGAATCGGGAACATTTCTGGGCGCAATGAGATGCCCCAACACTTTATCTTACCTTGTGAGGTATTTGATGTTTGGGGCATCGACTTTGTTGGACCTTTCCCAAGCTCAAGAGGAAACAAATACATTCTTGTGGCCATTGATTATGTTTCTAAATGGGTTGAAGCCCAGGCCTGTGTCACCAACGACTCTCGAGTAGTCGTGAATTTTCTGAAAAAGCTCTTTACTAGATTTGGTGTGCCTAGGGTTTTGATCAGCGATAGAGGGACTCATTTCCACAATGATCCAATGGCCAGAATTTTGGCCAAATATGGAGTCCAACATCGAAGCGGAGTAGCGTACCACCCCCAGACTCAGGGACAAGTGGAGAACGCTAAAAGGGATTTGAAGTCCATTCTGGAGAAAACTGTTGCCCAGACCAGGAAAGACTGGTCGACTAAACTTGACGACGCTCTTTGGGCATTTCGGACTGCTTACAAAACCCCGATCGGAACCACACCTTTTCGCCTTGTATACGGGAAGTCTTGCCACTTACCCGTCGAACTTGAGCATAAAGCACTTTGGGCGATGAAAAATGTCTGTTTTAAACTGGATGCTGCAGGGAAGGAACGATTTTACCAGCTGAATGAACTGGAAGAGTGGAGAGCGCAAGCTTTTCATAATTCCAAACTTTACAAGGAACGGGCCAAACTCTACCACGATCAACACATCAAGGCTCGTGATTTCAATGCTGGAGATAAAGTGCTGTTGTTCAACTCCCGGTTGAAGCTTTTTCCAGGAAAGCTTAAGTCAAGATGGTCCGGACCGTTCAAGGTCATAAAAGCTTACCCCTACGGAACCGTTGAGATTGAAGATGCTAATGGGGGTCCCTTTAAAGTCAACGGCCACCAACTTAAATTGTACCACGGTGGCCCAATTGAAAAAAGCAAGGAGATTCTCTATCTCCAAAAATTTTGAACCAAGGGAGGACATTCGTCAAGCTAGTGAAGTTAAAGAAGCGCTCATTGGGAGGCAACCCAACCCAAAAAAAAAAAAAAAAAAATAACCCAAAAATATTTTACTTTGTTTATTTCTTGCAGATGTATGGAGGAGGTGACGACCCCATCTTTGAGGATGCACCACTAGGAAGGGAAGATCTGCCGCCTCGACCCGATATCCCCTTTGCCACTATTGCAGACCGGAGACGCTTTCAGGTATGGGGACAGTACCGCACTCTCCTAGCTCCCATGATCTTAGACCAGGCGATGCTCGAGGAGTGGGGATACTGGAGTGATATTGTTGCTCTGCTGGGAGACTCTTTGTGGCGGAGGATTCTACTCATGCAGGAGAGGGCCAGTCTCCCATTGACGATGGAGTTCTTGTGCTCTCTACAGTTCACTCACTATGACCAGACTGTGCAGGAGGGTTCTGTCATTGGGTCGGAGACTCAGATGAGATTCACTATTAGGGGCATTGAGCATTCCATCTCTGTGGCTGAGCTCGGATGGAGGATGGGGCTCTATGCTCCGGTTTACACCCAGACTGAGGAGTTCCGTACTCTCTCGACCCGTCTACCTGAGGCTTTTGACATTGAGGAGTTCTGGCGCCGACACTCCACAGACACTAGGTCGTTTCTCCGGCAGCATCCCCATTCGAACAAATGGAGAGAGACTCACTGGTATATACTCTCATTTGTACTCTCCTGTGGTCTTTTTGGGCGACCTCATAACACCAACAGGGTGTCCAAAAAGGACATTTTATTCTTTTGGAGTCTGGTTCACCGTACCCCGGTGAATATGGCGGTCCTTATGGCTCGTTTCTTCCGGAGCCAGGGGAAGACTGTCCGCCGCACTATCCAGGCAGGACCTTTTGTCACCACTCTCGTTCGATCATTCTATCCTACCCTAGACATTCCAGGGCTACTACATCTACAGGATAGCATCCGCGTTCTTCATTCTTCTTCCTTTGGCAACATGAAGATCAAGAAGAAACGGAGTATTCAGGAGCTCCCAGGCACCGAGCAGAGTGGTTCCTCTCGACCCCCACCGCACAGGAGATATAGTGAGCCCTCCTCAGACATGCCCAGTGCATCAGATTGGAGGGCGATGATAGACGGGATGAGGAGTCTACAGACCTCAGTCTCCGAGATGCGGGTTGCACAGGACAGAGGATTTCAGGAGATGCGAGAGGCGCATACAGCGGTCCTGGGGGAATTCAGAGATTTCCGACGGGTGCAGGAGGACGCCTACAGGGATATTCAGGAGCAGTTAGAGACCCAGAGGCTAGATATTGATGAGATGCGAGACTGGCTTAGGCCCAACTATGGCCCCCAGGATGGCACATGCGATGTTTAGATTTGCTTCTTCCTTAACATTTTTATTATGTTTGTTTGTTTTTCAGGTTGGACATTGCGCTGCTCTTTTGACTTGAATGCTCTTACAAACTGACTATGGATGATGTAAGGTTTTTTAAAACCATTTTACTCCTGTTTCATTATTCCTCTTCACAAAATCTTTTCAAATCTCAAGTGTGAGGAAAGAACCAAAAAAAAAAGTGCCTTTATTTCCCAATTTTGTGCCTCAAAAGAAGACCTCGAGGGCGAGGTCTAGCTCAAGTGTGAGGAGGTTGCGTTTTACACTCAAAAGTTAAAACCTTGTTTTAGAACAATCTTTTTACTATTTTTGATATGAAACATTAATTTCTTAATTTGTTATCAATCACATAATAGTTTAGATAATCACCCTTATTATAAGAATTTACTTTTATTATTATTTTTAGAAAACTTAAATTTGTTATGGGTTTTTGGTTGTGAATGTAAAGGGCTGAATTTGTTTTAATTGGACATTCATTTTATTCATTAAAAAAATGCTAGTATTAATAAAACTCCAAAACTCATTGTTATAGGACAATTCCATCTCCGAAAAGGGGCTCTGTTTCATTCGTTAATCATAGTCTGTGAGAATGAAGTATGCATGGGATAACACCGCCGACAAGAGTGAAAAGGAGGCAAAAAAAAAAAAAAAACTGGTGAACAAGATGTATGTCCAATTTAGAATAATGAAAACCTTGGGATAAGGAATTGATTGGTGGTTTAACATAATCAATAGTTTTCTTTAGTAATAATAATAGTAAATTCATATATCTTGGGTGATTTTTTCTAAAATATAAAAAAAATTGAGAATAAAAGAGAGGTTTTTGTTTCTACTTCTTTAATAGCAATTCGATTGTGATCTAGTCAGGTTTTACCTTTTTGAGTGTGTTTCCAACTAATTTGTCGCTTGAGGACAAGCAACGCTTAAGTGTGAGGAGATTGATAAGTCCATTTTTGTACTTATTTTTCTTATCAAATTTAAGCGATTTTTGATTGAAAATAGAAAGAAAAGGCATGTTTTAGATATTTTGGTTCAAGTTTCATGAAATTAGGTGAAAATCACATTCATAATATGTTTGCCGGGATTTCGGGTCAATTGAGCACAAAATGAGTCAATTTGAGTAACAAATGAAGTCATACCGGAAGAAGTAAGCATTTTATCAAGGTGACCCAGAAGACAATCTTGGAAAGCAGGAACCGCAGGAATTACCGGACGATTTTAGCAGAAGGCGCCCAAATAGGCGGCCAAATCTGGGCGCCTGTGTGGCCGCCTACTCTATTTTGGAAAGTCAACGTTTGGCTTTGACTCGGAACCGGAAGATGACCGAAGGCTGCCGACACCAGGCGGAGGGCGGCCGCCCTCAGTGGCCGCCTGCGGCACTACGGGACGAAGCCAACCACCGGCCGGTGCGACTCGACGGCAGGCGGCCAGACAGGAACGGCGGGCGGCCGCCCTCTGGACCGCCTGCGGCTGACGAGACGCGGCTGCCGGCGACGAGAACGGAAGGCGGCCGGAGAGAGGCGGAAGGCGGCCGCCTGGTTGGCCGCCTACGGGAAAATTTTTCCTATAAATTGCCCGATTTTTTCTGAACTCAAACACACCATTCTAAAAAGGTATGTTCTAAAAAGGTTTCTTCTTCTTCCATTTTCGAGCTCCCAAGGTCTTAGAGAGAGAGAAACTTCAAATCTTCATATCTCCCTCATTTTAGCTCCAAATTGTAAGTTCTTTATATGTATTTTCATCTTCTCAACGTGTAGAATCTGAATCTGTGCTTTGTTTCCTTGATCTGTTCTTCGAAAATTTCCAGATTATTTTTCAAGTATTTCGCATTTCCTTCCAAAAATTGAATAAAATAGTTATTGATGTTGAATTCATTCCAATTAATTATATAGTTGTTCACTAGCCTCAAGGTAGTTATTTATCTGAAGAAATTTATTTTTCACGAAGTAGAAGTAATTTTTAATTAATTTCGGTAACTACTTGATATTATTGCTTAAATTAAAATAAATACTCAAAAAAGGAAAAAAAATTAGTTCGGCCTTAATTTCAGTTTAATTCATTGTTATATCACTACCAGTAGTTAAAATAAAATTTATAACGAAGTTAGAGTATTTTTAGTTGCTTTTTGCATTTTCTAGTTAAAATTGGGAAAATCATCAATTAGTTGCTAAAATTGGATCTTAAATTTATTAATTCGTGAAAACTTCCAGAAAATTATATTTTAGTTTCTATAAGTTTATTGTCCCAGAATATAATTTTTGTTTGAATTTTTGCTATCATCCATGTTTAATTCCTTGTTAATGTTGAATATACTCATTATATTGTTAGTTGTAAAAATGATGTTTAGTAGCTAAATTTGTTTTGGGCATGAATTGAGAAAAGGAATATGGATTGACTTGTTGACCTAAAATTAGGGGTTAAAACTAATAAATTGGACTAGTTGTTTAAAATGATGAAATAGTAATTAATAATAGTTAGCCATTTTCATTAATTAATTAAATTCTTGGAAAATTAATTCTAACTTGTCTATGAGATTAGAAATTAATAAGGCCTAGAAATAGGATAATTTAATGAAAAGGATTTACATCTTGTCTATGAGAAATAAATTCAGTTGCTAAAATAAAGAGTTTAACTAGTTAATGAATTTGGCTATTTTTATTAATTAAAATATTGGAAAATTATTTCTACCTTGTCTATGGGTTTAGAATATAATTTAAGCCAACCATTTTAAACACATTAATGACACCTAGAAATAGGATAAATTAATGAAGATAGTTTCTATTCTTGTCTATGAGGAAAGAAATTATTAGTCCAACCTTAGTCTTAATTTCCCTAATTAAGAGGTCCAAGAACATATCCATTTCTAATTACTCAATTCATTGCCCTTATTTGCATCAATCTTTAGAACACTTAATTTTTGAACATTAATCTTTAAATTGAACCTGGCTCTTACTTATAAACTGGCATAATTTAGAACACAACCACTTTCCTATATTGAAAAAGCTTCCAACGATTAGTGATAGCCCGTGACTAAAATTAAATTAAGAAACTTCTCCGCCATTTCTCAAGAGACACGATACTCGGGGGAAAACCGAAAGGTTAAACTCCGTTTTACTACAACGCCGCGAAAGCGGTTATCAATGACTTTTGGGAGAGGATAAAAGGATGCCTCTTTTTTTTTACTGAAAAGGATGCCTCTTAAAATTTCAAAACAAATATGTTGTTACTTTTTTTTTAAATTAACACATTTTTTCCCAAATGGAAACTATTAATTGAAGATTCTGTCACAGATAGGCTTTTCCATTGAATGCTGCTGTCCAGAGGCTTCACTGTATGTCTCAGATAAATTTCTTAAAGAAAAGAATATGTTGGAGCCTGGGAGGAAATGGCCATCAGCATACCTGTTCTTACACATGTGGCTTGAGAGATGTTGACAAACAAATTGTTCTCTTGATGAGAAAAATTTCTATCTTAAGAGATAATAAAATGGAAAAAGAATTTGACTATAGGATGCCTGGTTCGCTTTCCCTTTGGCATGACGCCATGACTTCAGGTATGATGTCCAAATAAAAAATTGTGACTTTTTATGTAATTTGTTTCCTACATCATGTTATAATCTCAAATCGTATTGGTTGTTGGGCACTTGGGCATCCTTAATACAGAGTTATTTATGAAATGCTCATCAAATGGACTTCTATTTTAAAATGCTTAGAGTTTTTATACCTAAAATTCTAAAAATATGACAGTGTATTTACATAGAAGTCAGTCAAGTCACTGTCTTTCTTTTTCATTTTTTGCATTGAATAGCAATGTTGCTGAAGTAAAAAAGTTAGGGCATGGAAAGATGAATAAAGAACTGTAAAACAAAGTAGGTTTTTTTGTTCTCTGTTTTGCACTTCTTGTGGCGTTTGTTTGTAGATTTAAAACAAAAGTAGGAGTCCAGTAATAGTTTAGCACTTTATTATCCCATTATTGCTAAAACCTCTTTTCTTAATGATCACCAATTAAGAGAAAATAATTTAAAACAAAAACAGTAATCAACCTCATGATAGTTTAGCATTTTACAACTCTGTTACAACTAAAATTGCTCTCTTAATGATCAGCGATTCAGAGAATCGAAACTTAAACAAGAATTAAGAGTATATTCCTTCAATATATATACCTAAAAGCATTACATATGAGTATCAGAGTATGAGTGTGAAAACTCGCCCGCTCTTCGTCCTAAGTGTAATTTTACACGCACACAAAGAATACACCTTTCAAGCGGTAAAGCTGCCTTCAAATCTTTTCAGCCGCACGCTTCTTTGGATTTCTTTTGTCTTCATGTCGTCTCTTCTCTCTCTTTCAATTCGGCCAGCTTTCAAGAGTACATCTCCTCGCAGCAGTCATAGTATTAGCATCGCCTCTCTTTTTCCGTTTTCCAATTTGTAAATCATAGTTGATGGTATTTAAACTGATGTGTTTTGTCGTTTTTCTCTTAGAATACTCAATTTTTAAATTGTTTTTTATAAATTATTTTAATTGATGATATATTTCTATCTTTTGTTGATTTGTAGACTGCTAAAAAAGAACTATAAATTAAGTTAGGCTAGAACTCTTAGAGTTCTCATGGGATATGCAAGTAGTTGGGTAACTTCCTTGAACAGATATGGTTTTACTTCTCATTTCCCTATTCCTATTTAGAGGAAATGTGAGCCTTTTTATGAAATCCTCATTTAAAAGTACATATCATAGCTAAATGTTTTTACGTGGTTTAATTCTAAAAATTTAAAATTGATAAAATGCAGCAACCCTCCCATCTCTTAATAATGTCATTTTTTTACCCTTTTCTCTCCCATCTCAAAGTTTTGATAATTTGTTGATTTGGTTCAAGTACAGTCCTAATATTCAGTTAATATGTATTGCGTTTATAGATCCTCCGTTTATGCTGTATGTTAACACAGAAATGATTAAAACATGAATATTTCTCACACCTCAATATTTTATTAACAGTAGTACCCTAATCATAGTTCCAATGATAAGAAATAGTTCTCCATTTTTTTGTAAAACGTTTTATGCTTGGATTTCATATTGCTATTATTTTTTTATGCTTGGAATCCAAATATCGCTATCACTTATTGCAGAGATCTTGATTTTGGAGAACTTGGAAAAGGTTTTAGCAAGGGAAGAAAAAGTGAATTAAAGGGCCATTTTTCATAAAGCAGTTTATAGTGGACCTCTGTTAAGATATCTTTTAAAATATGGTAAGATTATTCCATTGGGCTTTTCCTGTAAAGCTTCATCATTTTTCCCCGATTTGCACCTGTAGCATTCCTAGATTTCATGTTTGTCAATATATTCTTGTAGGATTCATTATTTTTGTGGTTAAAAAAGCCCTCACCACATGTTAAAATAGTATTGGACTCATTTGCTTGCCAAAAAATAGATTTTATGAGTTTTAATGTTATTACTTGACACTATAGTGCTGCTACTTTGATTACTGGCGATTTCGATATTTATATTTGAGTATAACTCTCTCAGAAGTTTGTTATGCTAATTTTTTACCAGTTCATATTTAAATAGCTTTATAAACAAGCTCTAAGCAAATTTGCCAAAATTAGAAATAGTTATCCATTCTTTTACAACAATTATGCTGGAATTTCATATTGGTATTATGGCTTTATCTTCATAGCGGCTGGGTAATATGATTTTGTTTGTCATGGATATGTACACATTGCGGTGTCACCCAGTAGTTTACAGGTTTACTTGGTGGAGTGTATTGGACTCATTTGTTTTTCACTTTCTATATTAAGGCAAGATATTCCTCATTGAGCTGGGTGAGAAACCCATTGATCCTCTACTCTGACATAGCGGCTAAGTAATATGGAGTATGATTTTATTTGTCATGCATCTGGACACATTGTGTTGTCACTCAGTAGTTTATTGCAGGGTTACTTGGTGTAGTTTTTTTTTTTTCACTTTCTATATATCAAGATAATATATTCCTCATTGAGCATACTGTCAGCTTTAGAGAAAATATAGCTTCACAAACTTTAACTTCATAGTGATCTTTCTTCAACTCTAATTGATAATAGCAACAATCTCCTTTGAAGCGGTGGAAATCAGCACAAAATGTCTCTGGTGACAGATGAGATAAGGCGCAGCACAACAGAGTTCTATGCGGGAAACGAACTTTGCCAGGAGACATAGAAGGTGCTGCTGAGAGAAGTGGGGCTGCCCGCAGGGCTGCTGCCCATGAAAGACATGGAGGAGTGCGGGTACGTCAAGGACATCGACTTCGTGTGGCTCAAGTCCAAAAAGAAGACCGAGCACACGTTCGAGGAGATCGGGAAGCTGGTGCAGTATGAGTGCGAGGTGACAGCCAATGTGGAGCATAACAAGATCAAGAAGCTCAAAGGGGTCAAGGCCAAGGAGCTGCTGCTGTGGGACACCATCAGCCAGATCTCCGTGTATGACCCGCCCACCGGGAAAATCTACTTCAAGAGTTCTCTCGGCGTAGGCAAGACCTTTCCGGTTTCGACTTTTGAGATCCCGCAGGTGGAGAAGAAGAAGGTAGGGGAAGTCAAAGAGGTGTAATATTGTAATGATGAAGGGTAGTTATTTGAAAGGTAGTTACTTTCATCTTTTGTGTCCTTAGTTGAAGGGTAGTTCGATATCATTATCCCAGACAATGGGAAAAGGCACAATCAAGCTTAGATATGTACGCACGCTTAGCTACGTACTCCCTGTTCTGTTTTATCAAGTCATAATAGTGTCGTAAGTTCTTTGTCGTTTCTGTCATCGTAAAATATATTCTCATCAATAGCAACTTGCAAAATATTCCCCAGTCCCCTTTAACGCTATGTATTGAAGTTACTTTTGAAGGAAAAAAACTTTTAACTTCATAGTAGTTCAAGCTTCCCATCTAAATGTTAATAACTACAATTTTGCCTTTTTGTGGGCATTTATTAACATCAACAATATTAATCACTATATATACATAATCAGCAATTATCTAAAATCCGTCTAAGTAACTTTTATGAAACTTTAAACTGATCTTATTGAACTAAATATTTTACAAACTTCCAAAAGACATCGCTTCTATAACTATTTATATTTTAGATTCATTTTTACTAGATCACTCTTTTGTTATTTAGACCAAGAAAAGGCATATGGCAACATGCCATCCACGCATGAGGCAATTGAATAATGCTTTAACAACATATAAGGATAAGGTGAGCCCAGAGACATTTTGTGTTGATTTCTATTATATAAGGTGTTACAACAAAAGGTATAAGACAATTTTCCAAAAAATAATCATACTTTGTTACAAAAATACTTCGTTGGTGAAAAACATCAAAAAATCTTACCATGTTTAAGCTATAAAAGTTATAAAAATATTTTGCAAGTGTTCGAAAAAAACAAATTGTCATAAATGTTTGACGCCATTCAATCTAATGACAACGAATGCGATGCAAATGCATGTGTAAGAGTTTACATATAATGTGAAAGATCATTTTCAATCTCACCATTATGCACCGGTTTATGTCACGACTTACCAATTATTTTTTCTAAAATTGAGATTGTCCCACAAGTAGGTAGTAATGCATTTAAGTAAAATGTCATAAATTGGAATAATCATTTCATATCACTAATTTTTAATTAAACTACAATGTTGAGTATAAAAAGATCACAATGTGATAAACATCTCATCCATATGTATAGAAAGTACATCATAAAAATTAATAACGTATATTGATTAAAAAATAACAAAGACAATAAGAAAACCAATGGTACCAGTGAAATTGACAGCTAATATGGTCAACAATTATAATGTAAGGATAGATGGATTCAGAGTTAAGCACTTATCTAAGCCCGATTCAGTTTAACCACTAAGTTGAGATAATGACCTTTTACATGAGATACATCCGCTAAACTTCTTAATAGCGTTATGAACAGAAGTTACTAGACCGCTTAGTTGATAGTGAATGGTGTGCAACCAGCTCTCGGTTACTTCCTAGGAGGAGTGCTCGAATTAAGGCAAAAATGTTGGCTAAACAATAAAGTGATTTTTAGGGCTATTTTATTATGGTTGATTTTGAGGGAAGTCAGATCTTGTTTTGGGACTCTTGAAAGAAGCTTTACGGGTTTTCGATGGCGTTAGGGATGTTGGTCCCTCTGGATAAGTTTTTGATTGAGTTGGGCGCTTGAGGCTTTGGCGGGATTGCTGGAGGAAGAAGTTTTTCATCAGTGCTTTTACTTCATCAGCTTTTATTATTCTTTAGCTTTTTCCTTCTTTAACTTTTGTAATTTGCTCTCATTTATTTCTAATAAAATCTTGTCATTGCTTTAAAAAAAACATTAATTGTGGGAGTGCTAGTGATGCTTATGAGGAATATAGATCATTCATCTGTGTTGTGGAATGACACACGACTCCTGGTGACTAAACTTGAACTCATATTTTCGAGGCTCAAATGATGCATGAAGATAAGTCGGTGAAAATCTTTTTTTAATCTTAGACTTATTTTAACACCATGAGACGTTGGGCTACCGTTCACTTTTCATGGCACATCTTCCATTAATGGGTAGCTATGTAATGACCATGAACAAGACTCATGAACAATCATTAGAATATGTTGGCATTTTCCTATATCATCCTGTTTTTACTTATAGACAGCTGTATGTGGTGGTTTCGAGAGTAACAAGTTTATTTGGGTTGAAGTTTATAATGTGACAAAGACAAACGATCAACCAATCGTGTGTGGGATGTTATATACTCCGTATAAAGAAAGTTAAAGTAATTCTTAGCATCCCGTGACATTTTTGTGGACATACATACACACCTATTTGATCCTATGATGGCTACATTTAACTTTTTCAATTTATTTCTCAGTGTGTTATTACAAAGACACACCATTTAGCATTTTATTTGACTTTTTTAATAAACTGGGTTGCCATTCGGTTTATTATAATTCTTATATAATTGCTTCTGAATTTGTATTTAGGAACTTCACTCCCGTGCAACGCACGGGTGGAGAAACTAGTTAAACTAAAAGCGCTAGATCTAGGAGCGCTTTGAGTCAGTTGGATGAAGAACGAGGTATATTGTGGGATGTTTGGAAAAGGCTTACTTAGGTTCTCGCTTCTAATTAACCTGCTCCTAGATGATTTATGAAGTACAGAAATTTCCTCCTGCTCATGTTCTTTGGGGCATTTTTTCATAATTTAAAAGAATTAAGAAACTCGATTATTTCCCTAAGCAATTAGTGTTTCGGAAACTATGAATTTATATTTTTTTCCCTTTTTAGGATTTATTCCTAATAACATTGTGATGTTTGTAACACAATGTACACTACAAAAAAACACGCGTGTAGTCACGAACCGTAGTCACGGATTTGGTCCGTGACTAGTTTAGTCACGGACTAGTCACGGAAATTTTAAAAAAAAAATAGTCACGCCTTGGACTGTGACTAACTGACTATGGCCGTGACTACAATTAGTCATGGTCCGATCCGTGACTAAAATGGTCCGATAGCTCCGATTCCGTTTCCGGCGAAGTTTATTTGATTCCGGTGACTTAGTCACGGCCACATCCGTGACTAAACCCGTGACTATGATTAAAATTTAATTTTTCATCTCCCATAAATTAATTCGCAACGGTGTTATGTACGGATAAATTTAGTCACGGCCATGTCCGTGACTATTTCCGTGACTACTTTGATTAACACGTCATTTACACGTCATTAACACGTGTTGGACGCGTAATGGACACGGTTTTGCTTAGTGACGGACAAATCCGTGACTAAGTCCGTGACTAAATTTTTTATATATGCAGAAGCATCTCATTCAACAGAACCACACCAATTCATTCCCAGTATATACAGTATCTGTTTGAAAGATCGAAGGATGTAGTCTATCTTCTATCATTTTCCCTGTTTATGCAGATAAGGTATGTTATTTGAATTATAATTTTTATTTAGAATTAGTTGGTTCAATTTAAATTATTAAAACTATTAAATTAGTGAGGTTGTTAATTAATTAACAACATGTTTTAACTATAAGCGTAGTAATGTCATAAATTAAAATTAGTTAAACTTTTAGGTTTATAAAATAATTTAATTAAAATTAGTTAGCTAAATGTAGTTTAAAACGTAATGATGTTTATGTTAAGTGAAATTAGTTAGTTAAACGTACGTTAGTAATGTGTTAATTAAGTGAATTGTGAATTGTGTATTGTTTATTAATTCAAATGACTTTATATACATGTTCAAATTATTGGGTTGAATTTGGTCATATTATTTAATTTAGTGAATTGTTAATTGTGTATTACTAATAAGATTAAATGTCATTAACGTAATAATTTAGTGTAGGTTTAAACGTAGGTTTACAAAAATAATTTAATTAAAATTCGTTAGCTAAACGTAGGTTTGAACGTAGCTAGTGATGTGTTAATTAAGTTAAATTAGTTAGCTAAACGTAGGTTTAAACGTAGGGATGCATTAAAAGGGGACGGAATGAACTAGTTAAATTTAGTTAAATTTAACTAAATGAATTAGTTAAATTTAGTTAAACGTATGTTTAATTTAAATGTAGTGTTAATAAATTACTTAAATTTTTTATAATATTAGTTAAATTTAAGTATTAGGTAATTACTTATATTTTGTGCATTATTGTTGTGAATTGTGTGCATTTCATTTAATTTAGTGAAAATTAGTTGATTATTTAGTGAAATAAATTACTTAAAATTGTGTGCATTGCATTTCATATAATTTTTTATTATAATATTCAGGCATAATATATAAACAAAATAGAAGTTGGATGTATGATAAAGATGCGGTATTGTACGGAATGCAATCAAATTTTCTCGAGGGAGTCGGGGAATTTATTGAATTTGCACTTGAACATCCGGCTTATATGAGTGGTGATAAAATAAGATGTCCATGTTCAAAGTGTAAAAATCTCAATTTTAAAGACCCGCACGAAGTTTGGTATGATTTGTACGCAGTCGGTTTTGTTCCCAATTATTATAATTGGACTTCTCACGGCGAACCTTTGGATCCATCTGTTATACCACAAACGGTAGGTTTGTCTCGTTACGTCCCTCCAGAGATGAGTGCGTGGGGAGACCGTGCTGAAATGAGGTGGGACCAACAAATGGTATATGACGCATACGGTGTACCGATGTCTCAGTTCAACCCCCCACAACCACCTAACGACCCCCCTGAAGCCTCAACCTCGTATCAACCAGATGCGGATGAAAATCCGACATTTTATCAACCTTATGTGGATGAAGGTTTGGCTGAGAGATTTCAGGATGTTCTAAAAGCTACCGACCAACCTCTGTATGCTGATTGTGAGGGATACTCTCAGCTATCCGTCGTTACTGAGTTCATGAACATAAAAGCCGAATACAGTCTCCCTGAAACTTGCATGAATAGAGTCTTGCAGTCAGTAGGAGGGATGCTACCGCGAGATCATACCCTTCCCGATTCATATTACCACATAAAGCAGTTAATGTCTAAGTTGGGGCTACCTTGTGTTGAAATTGATGCGTGCCCGGAAGGATGTATGTTGTTCTGGAAGGAGGATGAGGCACTTGAGTTCTGCAAGTTCTGTGGTGGAGACAGATACAAACCTGTTCGTCAAGGTAAAAAGAAACCACGACATAGGTCTGCACTGTCTAAACTGTATTACCTCCCAATAGCTCCTCGACTGCAGAGGATGTACGCTTCGACTGCTACTGCGAAACACATGACATGGCATGTTGAGCACGAAACCAACGAGGGTATGATGGCTCACCCTTCGGACTGTGAAGCCTGGAGACACTTTGACCGCTGTCATCCTCAGTTTGCTATGGAGCCACGAAATGTGCGGCTGGGATTGTGTTCAGATGGATTTGCTCCTTTTGGCAGGTTTGGCAAGAACTATTCATGTTGGCCGGTCATGTTAACTCCTTACAATCTCCCTCCCGACATGTGCATGAAAAGTCATTTCATCTTTTTGTCTTTAATTTGTCCGGGTTCCAAGGATCCTGGGCGAAAGATAGACATTTATCTCCAACCTCTTATCGAGGAGATGAAAGAACTGTGGGCCGTTGGGACACCAACTTATGTTGTTTCATCAGATAAAATGTTTATCATGAAAGCTGCCATCATTTGGACCATTAGCGACTTCCCTGTCTATGGCATGCTTTCGGGAAATGTAATTCACTTTATGTATTGTTAGAAATGTAATTTACTTTATGTGTAATTAGGTATTTATATGTCTTAATTTGTAAATTTGAACATTTATTTATATACTCCATGTTTGTTATTGATTTATCAAATAAGTTATATGAAAATTTAATGTGCATATATAATAAAATAATATTTATAAATACATTGTATGTCTTGTCCTTTATAATGAAGAGGTTTTGGTTTTGTCCTCCTCTTCTTTTGTACCTTTATTTTTTTTTAATAAAATTCGGTAAATGTTCCCGACATTTATCCTACCGATGGGTGGTTTGCTTACCGGGCTAAAAAAAATCTCTATATGTCCTTATTTTTAATATTTATTCCGTATATGTTATTATGTTTCTCCCACGTTTATGTTGCTTCGCTCATGCAATTTGACCTGGCATGTGCTTGCTCCAAAGTTTTAGCCCTAGCTAGATCAATCTCGATCAAACACCCGACTCTTATACTTGAGTAACTTGACCACTTGGGAACCACTTTGAAATACAATTGTGTAACCAACTAATCATTATTTGAAGTTTGGCCTTGTAATTCATTTTTAACTCATAGATACGAGTCTACATAAATTCATACAATGTAACCCAAAAGCTAGTTTTAAATATTTGATTAATTGTTTAAAGTAAAAGAGAATTGGCATGATGAACTATCCAACTATAAGATGAGGATTGCATATTCAATACTCCGTACTAGAAAGAGGGTGAATAGTCACACTTAATTAGTTTCATGTGTTGTAAATTCCTGAGAATGACAAGTGTGAATTGTTCATCCTTGTCATCAGAACACTAATCCAATTCTAGTCTTTGTAATAGACAGATGGCTAGGTTTAATGTTGCCAGCAAATTATGTGGAATCATTCTTTGATGATTCATCTCCTAGCCAACTAGTATAAATAGAGTGTTCAATCCTTTGTAAATTTAACTCAGAAACTTAGAAAATCTCAGTTATATCACGAAGAAGTTATTTAGAGCTTATTAACAATATATCTATCTCTTTAATCCGGTCTGCATCTTTTTCATTTCACAACACGTTATCAGCACGAATCTGCTCAAAACTCTTCAAGAAATCATCCACCTGCAGGTATAAACATATTATGTATGTACTACTCAGTATTACTTTTCCTTTCATCAAATTTCTGAACAAAGCAAAATTATACCGAAAATTGGAAAAGTATATTATATGATTATCCAAAGCAAAATTGTACCGAAAATTGGAAAAGTATATTAGACACCAGAATCACTTCTGCATTTTTACTCAAGCACTCTAACTTCTGCTCGTTTAAGAATAAGATACAAACACCCCTAAGATTAAGATGAATTTGGTGCATTGAACCCTACATGCTTCCAATACATGGACAATAATTAAAGTGGCTTACCTAAACAAGGGATGTCAAACTAGCCGTTACAGACAATAACGTTTGAAGAGAATTTGAAATCGTGTACGGCACCCGTAATTTGCTCGCGTTAAAAACCTGGCTACCACACCGCAAAATCGAATAACCCTAACAAACGCAAATTCCTGAATTATCGATCGCTCCTTCTCTCTCAGCCAGATCCACTTCACCTGTTATCGTCTTCAATCAAAGACAATCTATAGATTAAATAACAAGGGGAGATTGAGAGAGAAATGGCGGCTGCGAATACGACCAACAATGGGCAAGGCAACAATGCCGGCAGTCTTCCGGCCATCCCCACAACAAAGCAAACGGTTCCATCTTCTAAGTCTGTAGATACCCAATCTGTTCTGAAAAGGTCCTCATAAATCCTTCATCGCTCGTTTCATTTAGGGTTTCTAGATTCCTAGAAGATGCACTGTTTATGGAATTATCTATCTTCTTGAAATTTGAAAAAATGAAGCAAATTATGTTAAGTACCATATCCTAGTATTGGTGCTAGAATGGGAGTAGTTCGGGGTGGCCGGGGACCGTCCCACTCCACATTAGGTAAAAACTTTTATCTTGGAATACATTTTTTGTGTAAAATTTATATGAAAAGAACTTTTTACCACCCCACCCCAAAAAAAATTTCTTTACTCTCCTGCTTGTGTCTGCAACACATGGTGCGAATTAAATGATTTTGATATGGATTGAATTAGTTAATCAACTGTGCTTCATGTACAAACCATTTTACACATCGGGTAATTGCGACAATTTTTTTCGTTTTGTGAAGAGAATTGTGTCACACCAACAAAAACATTCCTTTGTTCATTGGTTGGTTTCAATATCTTAGGGAGTGTACTACTTTTCTTTACAAAATAATTCTATGCTTTTAGCTTCAAAAGAGCTAAAAGTAGTGCTTTCAAATAAGTGTTTCTGCTAGAATTTAAAAACTAATCATTTAAAGCTAGAAGCTAAAGAACCATATGAGATGTGTTTTACAAAAAGTGTTTGCTTCTACATTTGAGAAGTGATTAGTTTTAGAGATTATTTGAAAAATGATTCCTAATGTTCTAAAGGAATTAAGGGGATGTGATTGTAAGAAGTTAAAAGTTTGAGTGTTTGTATTTTCAGGGAGAAGTGATTTAAAGCATCCCTACATTCCAGCTTTAATTTTAAAGTGCTTAATTTTAATTGAAAAATACTTTTTTAGACAATGCAAAAAAAAAACCTTTAACTCCTTTTCACTTTTAGTGCTACACAAAAAAATTTGGTGTACTTCCACATCCATTTTAGTCTCTGAGTTATTCTAAATTCTAACTCCAGTGTTTTTCATTGTATCATGACAGGCTGCAATCTGAACTAATGGCTCTGATGGTAAGTGAGAAACTGGAACCTTCTTTTATTTTTCTAAAAAAATTAAGAAATGCTTTTATGAACTTTTTATCACCCGGATTTCAAAGTAATCTCAATATGCAGATGAGTGGTGAGTCTGGAATATCAGCTTTCCCGGAGGAAGACAACATATTTTGCTGGAAAGGGACAATCACAGGCAGTAAAGACACCGTTTTTGAAGGAACAGAATATAAGCTCTCTCTGACCTTCCCTAATGAGTATCCATTTAAATCACCCAAGGTTAAATTTGAGACAGCTTGTTTTCATCCAAACGTGGATGTATATGGCAACATATGCTTGGATATCCTTCAGGTTACATATTTTTATCATCTGTTCTTTCACTTTACCATTTTTTTATTCTTCACCTGGGCGATCTAACACTCTTAGGGAATGTATATATAATTGCAGGACAAATGGTCGTCTGCGTATGATGTAAGGACTATACTACTCTCCATTCAGAGTTTGCTTGGAGGTAATTTGTTTGTGTCGTTTACTTATGAGTGATGATGGATATTTATTTACTAAAGAAAGAATATTAAGAGCATACTTATTTCTCAAAAAAGGATGAAAAAACAAGTATGAATTCGTTATGGGAAGGGACTGAAGGAGGGATTACTTTTTTAACCATTCGTAAACTTGAGTTAATTTGGGTACTTCCTTGATCTCATGATTTCAGAGCCAAATATAAGTTCTCCACTAAACACTCAGGCAGCCGCATTGTGGGGCAATCAAGAAGGTAATAATCAGTTCACTTATGACAAGTGCCCCTAAAGATATAATACAGCTTTTATAAGTATCGTGTTTATTATGCTTAATGTGTGTCTTATAAAATTTACAGAATACAGAAAGATGGTTGAGAAGCTGTACAAGCCAAACACTGTGTAGACCTGACAAGTTCTTGAACAGTGAGATTTGTATGGAGGCTCTGCCCTTCTTACTTTTGTTTTTTTGTTTTCGTTAAAGTTTATCATCCAAGGGCAGAAACATGTTGAGTGAGATAGAGTGGTGAGAGAGGTTAAGGAATTGTACGGCGGCATTGCGGCAATATGTATTTTTTATTGAATTCTGTTTCAAATTTAATGGTTAATAAGAGAACAAAAATACAAAGTGAAACACTTCAAGTTTATCAAACCCACTCACTTCAAGAATACTCTTGTCAAATTATGTCATTGTTTTCCGTCTCACTTCAAGTCTTCAAGTACGAATATTCAAGAAAATATACATACTGAGTTGAGTGAAGATGAAGAATTACATCCAAAAGTCCAAAACTCTAAGACCCACACCAAAATTCACTTCAAGTTCTTTCGAACTAATATTCTTCTAATCCCAATACAATATATATGATGGGGTGAACAGACAACTTGCTTTGACCAGCTAGGAGCTCTTTAGTACGGACAATGCCTCCTTTGTTGTGGCAGAGATAACAGCATCTGAAGCATTCGGCAAATAATAATACTTCCCTGTGTCATTAAAAAAGGGATGTTTTGAAGAGATCACTTTCCTGGCAGATTAGTTAGTTAGCTAACTAATCAAATAGGGAGAAACATTTTACCTCGAGAGACTTTTGCAATTTCTTTGGCAAAGCCAGTGGACACAAATTTGTTCTCTGTATCAATAACAAGGAGGGACATCCCTGCTTTGTATATCTTACCAGCCACATCAAGAATTTCATCCTGTGCGCAAAAAGAAACAATATTGAGGAAAAGACTAAATCAAATCTGCCATTCCCAATCACACTTGAGTTTAGTAGTGTTTATGTGGGTACCTTCAACTCTTGAGCAGAGGGTCTGGGTGGTGGTGGTGCATCAGAAGAGGTTGTTGAATCAGTGGATCTCTTAAGGGATATGTTGGCTCGACCATCAGTAATTGCAACAATCATTATTCGCCCAACATCGCTGCTCTTCTCGGCATTCATCCCTACTCTAACTGCCTGAGACAACACAACCAATCCTGCATGATGAATGAATCTAACAACAAAGCATTTCGGTGGGGGGGGGGGGGGGGGGGGGTAACATTTTTTTGTACACCAAGGTGTGTTCACCAAATCATTACTTGGGTGTGAAAAAAAATGTGCCGTTACACTTGGGTGTTTATTAAAAATTCACATACCGACCTACCGTAGTGAGTCCATGAGCAAGGGGAGAACCCCCACCACAGGGAAGTCTCTCAAGACGCTTTCTTGCCATTGAGATTGACCTTGAAGGGGGCAACAGAACTTCTGCAGCATCTCCTCTGAATGGAATGATGCAAACCTGTGTTATACAGAAAAAACTTCACATAAATATAATGAAGCAGAGGAATATACATAAATTTTCCTAGAAACCTGAAATACCTGATCTCTACTTGTATAACTTTCTGCAAGTAGTTTTAATGCTGCTCCCTTTGCATTCTGCATCCTATTCAATGCCATACTTCCACTTGCATCAACCACAAATATCACCTGTGATATAGAAATTCATGTTAGAGGAATCCAGAGCTAACCTATCTTTTCATTCCAAAAGTAAGATCTCCACCACTTTATTGAACGATTACTGGCAGACTTGATTGGTTCGAACAAAAATCTAAAATCTCCAGTTGAACTTTTTGACACTAGGTTAAACTAAATTACATTTTCTCCACTTGAGTAAACAAATCACATTGTTAGATTCCTATATTTTTTGACAATTGCTTGAAGTTTTCCATGGTTCACCTGCAAGTTCTACCTCAAGAACTTCTTTACAAACAATCTTTACAAATGCTCTATTACAATATATATATATATATGAATAAATACCCTACAAATATGAAGTTAGAAAAAGAAATCTGGAAACAAAACGGCATAAAAAAGAAGATAGTCTGTTGAGAGATAGAGAGGAACTAAATCTACCAAGGCTCCCGCTTTGCGTGCCATTCGTTTGGCTCTCATGTCGGTTTTCTCTACAAAAACTTTTCTAGTTTTATGAATGTCCTTCTCTCTACGTAGCTTCTGATACGGTGCAGCTGCTCTTAGAGTTGCATCTACAGCTAATCTCTTAACTGGACCCTGAATGACATCAAGTAATTTCACAAGAATAGATGAATGGATTCAGTTCTTCTTTTAAGAAACATAGCATTCAAGAGAACTGATTCAATTATAACAGAATGAATATGTTATGAAACTAAGATAATAGAAGCAGAGCATAGTTAACCTTAGGAAGCATTGGCTTAATATATCGACCTCTATCTTCAGAGAAAATAACATTTTTAGCTCGCCCAGCTTTTCCTTTACGCCTCTGTGCTTGTTGTGCAAAGAAGAGAAGCTTGTCATCCACCAAACCACCTTCCACATCAAAAATAAACTCATCGGGTATCTGTTCCTGTTGCTGCTCATTTTCTGCATCTTTGTCTTCCTAGTTAAAGATTGAACAGAGTGATCACATAGAAGCTACAAACCCTTTTCTAAGAAAAGGTGAAAGTGAATATTGTCCATTTTAACAAACCTCTTGATCTTCTTCTTCCTCTTCATTCTGCTCTTCCGAAGAATCCTGATTTTGTGGAGGAGGGGGAGGGGGAGGTGACTGTTGGTTTTGCTGCTCAGGTGGGCTTTCATTAATAATTGTCCGTGGAATGATGACCAATTCCACCTGAATTAGAAAAAGGTATTAGGACTGTGCTAAATGTTTATCCCACAGGGAATGGTGACCAATTCTGCCTGAATTGTAATGATTTTCATGATTGACGGCAGCAGCCTCTCTACTCCAGTCTGGGTCTCAGAGGATAAGGTCTGCGTACATCTGACCCTACCCCGACCGTACTTCCGAGTGGGACATACAAGGTAATGTTTGGTTTGTTTTGCTTATGGTAGCAAATCTGATGGAGATGTTTCTTGTGAAAAACAAGCCAAAATTGTGTGGTTACAGGCTATGAAGTCACAATAGTAAAAGCTGACATGACATGGAGTGTTTCAGGTTGATGATTTTAAAGTACATGCGGAAAATTTGGGCAGTCCGGTACACATTGGCATCCCCGCAAGGTGAGGGTCTGAAGAAGGGTCCCATTACAAAGGTGTATAAAGGAGGAAGAAGCCTTCCCTTGTCATTTTGACAAGAGGCCGCTCCTAAGACTTGAACCTGTGACCTCTCAATCACACATCAACACCATAACTGATGCGCCAAGGCTCCCCTTCACACTTTATAGTCTAAAATATAAAAATATTGGGGCTTTCCCTCTTAAGTAAATGATGGTTCCATGAATTTCGAGGACTCAAGTGCCCGACTAGTATGCCTAGAAAACATTACTACTATGTACAATTTTAAGTAAATGATTGGTTTGGGATTCAAGAACATGTATGGATATAGTTAAGGACAACTAATGATAAATTTTGAAATATCTGGACAATGACTACACCACTCAGATTAATGATAAAGTTTGTGTTGATGTGTCTCCAAAATAATTTCAATTCTTCTGAGATGAGAGAACTAATAATACTGTTACAGCCTTATAGGGTAGATAAACTAGATATTACTCAAATACAGTGCCACCAATTTTGGAGAGTGAATGTAAGAGGTAAAAGTGGGAGTGTGGGATGACTAGAAAATAAAAAGTGTAACACAACTTACAGCTTTCTTCAGGTCATCAACATTGACTTTGTCACGGCCCTCGAGAGCAGCTAAGCATTTAGCAACACGAGCAGCATAAAGTTCGGCTCTGTGTCCCTGTAATTTCAAAACCAATGGCAGTCAAATGCTTTAGGTAAGGACACTTAACCATATTAAAGAGAAACTCAGTAACAATTCAACACATAGCCTTTCCTTTCATGAAACAAATCTGAATATTTTATTTGGGGTTAAAAAATGTCCCACTTACTTTATATAAGCTACAACATACATCCATGACAATTAATAAATGAACAGTGTGATAGGACATGTTTTGTAACTTATTATAGTGTTCATCCTAACAATATGACATCAATGTCACTATACCACTATACTATTTTGTGTAATGTGGCTTACATTTTCATGTTCTTTTTATATTTTTTATCTACGAAGAAATGTTAAAGAATCCTCCTAACTTTGGAACTTCTACATAAGGCAGTTTATAATTGGCAAAGTTTCTCTCCACTACATTGGAACTTCCAACACTGCTAAATCAGAGGTAAAATCCACTGCTACAACTTTTCATGCTCATAGAATGATATGGCATGTCTTTAAGCCACAAACATAGTAGCAAATGCTACACTGCAGTGGAGAGTCCACTACAGTGAAGAGTAACATTTAGCGATGGTTTTTTTTGTTTATCAGCCTTATCAACCAACTCTTTTACCAAATACTAAGATTTTAATTTTGCGCGCTGAATTTTATTATAAATCTATAATTTGAAATAAGTAAGGACTAATTTTGAAGTTACTTTTGTGTTGAATTTGCTAAAAAGGACTATATTAGCTTTTTGTTCATATCATTTATTTCTTTATTTTATTAATAATATAGAGGAATTATCCTGTCCAACCGGAGGGACATGATCCGCCGTCTGGCCGCCGCCGTTTGGGGCGGTTCCCGGTGGAATTTTTTGATGAAATATTTTGGGAATGTTCCTCATCAAATCTAGTTTGTCCACAGAAAATTTCAGCTAAAAATTCGATCGGGAAGGCAGTCAAACGAATTTTGGAAGATAACTGCACCCTTAATGTACATATAAAACGCAGTTATCTTCCAAAAATCATTTGAGTGTCTTCCCGATCAAATTTTTAAATGAAATTTTTTGTGGATAAACTAGACTTGATGAGGAACATGCATAAAAAATTTCATTAAAAACTTCACCGGGAACCGCTCCAAACGGCGGCGGCCGGACGGCAGCTCTGGTCCATCCGGATGGACAGGATCTTTTTCCTAATAAAATATATTTTAAATATAATATATTCATAATTCATAATTCAGTCATTTCAGCTGTTTTAGTCACAACTTCAACACTTTCGACCGATTCTGCCAATTTCAGCACTACGAAACAGGCTCTTATAATAAGTCTTGTGAAGCCTTGTCCAAATACCAGTCTGGAGCATTCTTTTAACACTAGTACAGTGTTCTGGCTA